GGAGGGCTACCATTTTTTGGACCCCCTTTTGGGGAGGGCCAAATTTTTTTGTGCCCATCTAGAAGGGAGGGCCACAAATATTTGGGCACCTATTTCAGTAAAAATAGTTATATTTCAATGACCAATTCAATGGGCCCGTACACAGATAATGAATGAAGGCTTCCATGCAGAGATAATTAAAACGAAATTTATTTCACCAACACCAGAACAATTTCTTTCACCAACGATAATAAATCATATTTTATACATGTAATGTCAAGTATAACAACTAGTTGATACTCATATATTTCCTCACTTGCCGAGCCTGTAAAGTTCATTGCTAATTTCAGCAATATGGTGTACATTGTTTCATGTCAATAATATGCGGTACAATAAAATCTAACAAACGGAAATCTTACAAATATATGGTCTGTAGTATAAAAACATATACGTGATCAGTCTGAGTCACATATTGGTTGACAGTAAGGTATACATCCAGAGGTTTCCCAGTATGGACCAACATGAAATATGAATGACGATGACGACGTGGAAGAGTTCAGCAAAAAGTATGTGGTGGAAAAAAGGCTGGTTACACAGTACCTGGAACATTTTCGCGAACTAGAAAGAAGGAAAAAAAAAGAGGGAAGATAGCAGAAAGCGTGCAAATCTGGAAGAAAAGAGAAAGACCTTTGAAGATTACAACTGGAAAGCTATTTACAGGGAAGGAAAAATAAAGAAACTGAAAGTTGTTGTATTGGACATGTATATATCAATGAGAAATTTGAAGCAGTCGAAAGGGGCGTTAAAGCAAGAAAAAGTCGATATCGTATCACTTGACATAGCAAAGTCGCTAGTCCCTGATAACCGTCAACTTTCTGATGATGACAGAGATAGTAACGACCAGGATTCTGGTGACGACGATGTTGTCGTGCAGGAGATTGGAAGTGATGAGGATGATATTGATTCCGACGACGATGAAGGACAAATTTATGAAGGTGATGCGGGAGAAGAGGAGGAGGAGGAAGAGAACATTTCCAACCTTTTGCAGACCACAAGATCTGGTAGAGTTTGCCGGACATGGAAGGGACGAGCCAGTGCTATAGACTAATTTACATAAAGATTTCAAATGATGTACTATTTAATGCATGTATAGGAGTGTTTTATACTATATAGCCATATTTTATTCACGAAATTATGTCGCTGTTTGATGCTTGACCGATTGGAAGGAAGCTATCTTAGGAAGGGGAGGGTCACAATTTTCTGGGCTATTATTTTGTGGGGGGCTAAAATTTTTGGGCGCTAATTTGAAAGGGGGTCAACATTTTTGGGCCCTCGTTTTAGATATTTTACCGGCCCTCCCCCCCTAATAATTAATGACCGCTCCCTAATATTATGTGAGATACAAACGTTTTGAATGTGGTGCACGCTTTAAAATTGAGTAAAAAATCGAGAAACATGGCTGATCAAATTTATATGAAAACAAATTGCCATTTTCCACAAAAATTAACAATTTCAATTTTAACATTTCAACTCAACTTTAATTTTGGGTAATGTCCTAGTTTAAAATACAAAACAAGTGAAACTCAAAAAATCGAAATTGTTTTGAAATCAAAAATTGTTTTGTATTTTGTTAAAATACTCAGTGGTTCTAAAAATTCCTAGTATAAGTTAACCTTTTGTGTTTCTTGGGAAGCGAAATAAGCATGAAACATTTAAAAACGTTCGAAAGCATATTTGACGTCCTTCTGGAGTTCGTATTATAAAGTTGGTCTTCATTCGCCTTTTGAATATGCCTCGATTAAAAAGAGATCAAAGACTTTGGATTTTATGGTTTCCCATGCAACACAGTGTACACATGCAAGAGGACATACTTTCTATGATGAATGAATAAATGTTTATCCAACAACAATTATGTTTTTCATTCGTCCTTTTGGCCACAGTAAAACTATATAATCAAGTTTAACAAATAAAATTTGATGGGCAATTTTATGCAAATTTTTAACATTGCCAAATATGCTTATTCGATTTAAAACATTGATGTACTATTTAAAAAACGAGCAGGAGTGTTTTATTAGGTTTAAAGACACGAGCGCGAAGCGCAAGTGGCTTTACACCTAATAAAACACGACCTGCGAGTTTTTTAAATGGCTTCCAAAACGTTTGCATAATAAGTCAAATCTGAATATTAATTGTAAACAATAGATACCTTCAGGGAATAGATTTCAAATAAGGATGCTAATGATTTTTTGTTCTTGTCTTTCATATTGTATCGCTTTTGCTCTCGAGGCTAATGAGCAGAATCGCATGAATGAGTTAATTACATGCATGGTAGATGAGTAATTACTTCAATTTAATAAGGGAAACGAAGTGTTAAATTACTCATTGTAATGCATGCATGGTGCACGCATGCCACAATTCTGATTACGTCATGTTGTGGACCACGCTTAAAGAAGTTGTTTTACGTTATATTCTGTTGTATTAACTTGCCGTTTGCAACGAAATCATGCCTCCCAAGCGAGCTTTTCGACAGCCAAAAACTGAAGAAGAAGCTAATCTGGAAAATTCCATTCCTCCTTCGGACACAGTATAACACAAAATGGGCGTGTAAGATATTCCGAGAGTGGCAATATGCTAGGGCAAATAAGGATGCGAAGTTAGAAGCAACGGAATTTCTAGTCAATGTGGAGCAAGTTCAAAGCTTGGAGACGTCTATGGAAACCATGACCTGTTGGTCGTTAAATGTTTGGTTAACTAAGTTCGTCGAAGAGGTATGTAAAGCAAGTGGAGAGCGTTACCCGCCTCAAACGCTGTACAGTATATGTGCTGGATTACAACGCCACTTGGAAGACGTTAATGGCGGTGATGCAATACAACTTTTAAGCAAGAACGAAATGAGGTATTTTGTAGTATTTTGTTGTAGAGTTTTGCGGTAATTGCACACCACATTGCCACTTTTCGCACATAAATAGGCTAAGCAATTTTTTAACTGCTTTAGACTACACATGTTTCGACGGGCATTAGACTCTGGAATGAAACAGGCCAGTGCTGATGGTCTAACAAATATGACGAAGAAACCTGATAAAGAAGGGGATAACAGAAGAAGAGGAAAATACTTTTTGGGATAAAAGTCTTCTCGGTTCTCAGACAGCTAAGTCACTACTTCATACAATTTACTTTTATAACGGAAAGTTGTTTGGCATCCGAAGTAACGAGCATAGGAATTTACGATATAGCAACTTCAGAGTTGAATTTAATTGTATAATATATGATGAGAGTGTATCTAAAACTTATCATGGTGGCCTTAAAGATCTCAAGTACAAGCCGCATGTGGTGAAACATGTTTGTTGTTTTGCCCATAATTAGAATAACAATGACTTTCATAGGACTTATGCATGCATTACTTAATTATGTAAATTATGCTTATAAAAACTAAAACCAACTGCACCTAGCTAGATTCAAATTGAACTTCATCGAAGGAAACTAGGAGTAACTATAAAGTAAGTAATATTTTAACGTGTATATTATATTGTATTTCAAGTTCATTCTTGTATATAACAATCTTAGCTAGTACTTATATGTAATTTATTTTCTCTTTAGTTTGACTATATATATAAATATGAGACAGTATAATAAACTGATTGAAATCGTATAGTACAAATAACGCTCCTGGTCATCCGAAGTTGTTCTGGCTCTAGATAAAACCGCCAATACGTGCAAAACAGTCAAATTTATATCTAGAGAAGTAATCTGCGAACTGTAGGAGAAGAATGGAAGATTATTAATATCACGTGCTAAAGTACCATGGTAGATCCAAAGCATGTTCAACCAAGCAAAGCTTGAACAATTTAAGGGAATGTTTGATTAGACGCTTTGCTGGCAAGCATTTAAATCAACATTTACATAAACGATAAACAAGTACATTAAGCAAAGAAATGCTGCCTAAAATTGACGTGTCGTTGTTAACAGCAAAGTGGGACAATATGGTTAATTCTCTATACGAGTTGTTTGAAGAATTTCAAGTACTTTCCAGTGTTGAAGCAGAAGTTTCAACATTAGATAATGTGTACAAACAAATCGAAACGAAATATAGGCTCATGAAACAACAACAAGAAGTAATTATTGATAAAATATTAGAAGGTAAAGTTAGCGATTCCGAAGAAGCGGAAAAGATTCTCGAATGTAATAAGAAAATTGGTACTCAAGTAAAGACTCACTATTTAAATTGTACTAAAAGTTTCGCTGAATATCAAAAGAAGTGCTCTTTAAATAAATCATCAGAACATAAGTCAGACAGTATTGAGGCTATGACATTTGCCGTGACTAAAATGGCAGAGGCACTTACTTCAACAAAAACCGATAAGACAAGTTCATTAGAAAAACTCTCAGACCCGGTATGGGACGGCAAACGAAAATTGTATTTGACATGGAAACATGAATTTAAATATTGGATGGAAAAATGTAAACAAGATAAAGAAGAACAATTACAGAGCTTTCGCAAAGCTTTACCAAAATACTCTTTTTGGGCTGACCAAGTAAAATACTGCAAATCGGTAGAAAAAGCATTTGAAATATTAGATAAAGAATTTGCAGATAAAAGAAAACTTATGGATGATTTATTAAATGAAATTACCTTTCACAAACCAGTAAAAAGCGACTCAGCGTCATTTTCACGTTATGCAACTCAAATTATGGGCTTTGCAAATGACATGGAAGAAAACGGGTGCTCGGTAGCAGATTCAAACGAATCTCCATTTATTATGTCACAATTACTGTCTAAATTGGAGTAAAGAGATAACGCTGACTTCGGACGTGATATGATTCGGGAACATAAAGAAGAAAATATTACAAATCTTATTGAATGGTTGTATAGAGAAGCAAATTTAAGATCGAGAGGAAAACAATTTAATGCTAGTGATAGTACTAATCAATCTAGTAGTCCTAAACCACCAAAAATTAATGCTGTTAACAGTTCCTACAATAAACAAACTGAAAATGCTCTTAGAAATAATTCTGAACATACTAACAATTCGAGAACTAAACAGACTGAAGAAGATTCATGCCCATTAAATTGTAAAACCCATCACTACCTCTCGGAATGTCCTGTTTATCAAAATTTAAGCGTCGATGAACGATGGGAAGTTGTTAAGCAGAATAACCGTTGTCGAAAATGTTTAATGACCCATCACACAAATACGTGTAAAAAACCAGACGGGACAACATGTAAACAATGTACTAAACCCCATCATTATTCATTGCACAATAACAGAAGAAATTCCGATAGTACTGTAAATCAACAGTTTAGTCCGTTGACATCTGAAATTAATATAGAGAAATTAGAGACACAAATAGCAATGTTCAAAAGAACGATAAAATAAAAGGAATATGTCTGGTACAAAAAATTTGAGTAAGAAATAAATATGGAGAATTTGTTGAGATTTTGGCAATGATTGACAGCGGATCAAACATAAGTTTGATGTCGAAAGCTACAGTGAAACGACTCGGTTTAGAAGGTCCAGAACTTCACATGACTATGAACTTAGCCGGAGGTAAACAAAAATCCGAAACGTCACAACAAATCGAGATATCCCTAGCACCAATTAACGACGACCAAATAATAAAAACTGTGCATGTCCTTACCGTACAGAAACCCTGTAGTGCTGCAAAGTGGATATCAAAAGCTGCGGTAAAAAATTATCCTCACCTAGAGAGTATTGTTGATAAATTACACCTTAATGGTGGATCGATTGATTTACTAATTGGTACAGATTTTCCTGCAGCCTTTGTTGACATTCATATTAAACAAAGTGAGCTTGGAGGACCAATCGCCAAACGAAATTGCTTCGGTTGGTATGTTCTAGGTGTCGTCGGCATACATATCCAATATTACGATACGCAACGAATGGTAAAAATGTTTTAACCATCGGTAAATACGAATACCGATTCGTCACCTGCAGTGTCAAAAGAAACATGATCTCATTAGGATATTCACCGACGGTATGCCGCGGTGATAGGATTCACAATCTGTCATCTGCAGTGTCAAAAGAATCGTGAAGAGATGAAGACTTAATCTTATCTTAATTGACGAGTACTGCAGGCTTACTATAACGCCTGGGTATCACTTCATGAGTTTGCTTCGTTTTTAAGAAACACGCTTTTGACGCTTTATATAAACGCACTGACATTTAAAACACCAGACCGTGCATTTAAATATTATATGTCTACATGAGTTTGCTTCGTTTTTAAGAAACATGGTTTATATATACGCATTGATATTTAAAACACCGCAGTCCATGCATTTAAATATATATGTCTTCATGAGTTTGCTTCGTTTTTAAGAAACACGCTTAGTTATATAAATACATTGATATTTTGATATTTAAAACATTACTCCGTGAATTTAAATATATAGGCTACGTATTGATATTTAAAACACCAGTCCGTGCATTTATATATGACATATGACTTCATGAGTTTGCTTCGTTGTTAAGAAACACGGTATAGGCTACGCATTGATATTTAAAACACCAGTCCGTGCATTTAAATATGATATATGACTTCATGAGTTTGCTTCGTTTTTAAGAAACACGGTTTATATAAACGCATTGATATTTATTAAAACACCAGTCCGTGCATTTAAATATGATATGTCTTCATGAGTTTGCTTCGTTTTTAAGAAACACGCTTTATATAAACGCACTGACATTTAAAACACCAGACCGTGCATTTAAATATTATATGTCTACATGAGTTTGCTTCGTTTTTAAGAAACATGGTTTATATATACGCATTGATATTTAAAACACCGCAGTCCATGCATTTAAATATATATGTCTTCATGAGTTTGCTTCGTTTTTAAGAAACACGCTTAGTTATATAAATACATTGATATTTTGATATTTAAAACATTACTCCGTGAATTTAAATATATAGGCTACGCATTGATTTTTAAAACACCAGTCCGTGCATTTATATATGATATATGACTTCATGAGTTTGCTTCGTTTTTAAGAAACACGGTATAGGCTACGCATTGATATTTAAAACACCAGTCCGTGCATTTAAATATGATATATGACTTCATGAGTTTGCTTCGTTTTTAAGAAACACGGTTTATATAAACGCATTGATATTTATTAAAACACCAGTCCGTGCATTTAAATATGATATGTCTTCATGAGTTTGCTTCGTTTTTAAGAAACACGGTTTATATACTGGGTGTCTCAAAAAAACTATACCCTGTTTGATTTCATGTACCGTAAAACCTATTACAGCTATTTCACTAAAATAAACAGCATTGTATTCACAAAGGGTTAACTTAGATTTTGATATATAACATTTACATTTTCGTGCCATATTCACACAGCTATTAGCCTATTAACGTTTCAAAGTTGAACTGACATTTCTGAAATGTTAAAAATTAGCATAAAACAGCATATCAAATTCAAATTTAGTTTTTGATAATTTTTATTCTAGCTAAAAGAATGCCTTCATGAAATTATGTACAAAAGAATGGCCTAATATGAGTTTACTCATCAGGAAAAGCGTGTCGATACAAATCCAACCTCGTTGTTGTCTTTTGTTAACTTTAGGCTAATCGACATGCAATGTTTATTTCATTGCCAATTTGATTCCCAAGAGACGTCATATGGAACTTTCGTTTAATGTGAATTATTACTTTGCTTTATACCTAAGAATCAATCTTTAAGTGTAATTTTTAAAGTAAATTTGCAAGGGAATGATCCAAAATTAAAGATAAAATCACTGAAGTTAAAAAGATTCCATGTAAAGTGAAAACTGCTTTCAATTTAGTTTGATGCGGCGATTTTTGTTGTTTTTTCGCCAATTTCAAAAGCTCCTCGCAACTTCAAACACTTGTATTTCTGTCAATACCGCACGGAAAATCAAATGTTATATATCAAAATCTAAGTTTATTTATAGGTTTTACGTTACATGAAATCAAAGAGGGTATAGTTTTTTGGGGGACACCCGGTATACGCACTGATATTTAAAACACCATGAGTCCGTGCATTTAAATATGATATGTTTTTATGAGTTTGCTTCGTTTTTAAGAAACACGGTTTATATACATACGAATTGATATTTAAAACACACAAAACTCTGCCCCACTAAATATGATACATATACTTCATGAGTTTAAACGCACCATGATCAGTATTTAAAACACATTCAGTTGGTGCAAATATATGCATAATATACTTCATCAGTGAATGAAAATGCACAATGCAAAATGTAACTATACTAAAATTTAAGTCCGACATTACATAGTAACCAGTTTATCAAAGAAGACAAAAATATATACAAGACAACCTCACATGTGGAATCTGTTTACTTATACGCACAGCCTTGTGATGCAGCAGGCACGGATTTTTTCGGGGGGGGGGGGTGCCCCCAGAAATACTTTGCACCCCTCTCCCCCAGAGGCATTTGGCACCGCCCCTAAAAAGTTTTTGCACCCCTCAAATTATACATATTTTGATTTGATATTTTCCTATTTGGTTATTCTTATTACTAAATTTATAAAATTACTAGTATTGTGGTCTCAGATGCCGCCATGCAAGCCTAGAAAAAAAGTTTTGTTAAACATTTCCCTTGACCTTTCTGGACGTTGCCACCAGGCCCCGGTCAAAGCAAGCAGCAGCACCCCC